TCTCTCTTTCCCGTTAAGTATTTAAGCGCTCTCCATTAAGTACTTAGCGAGTTCCACTTGGACACAGCGCTGATTTCCGGTGTAATCTTTTCTACTGTAATAATGAATGTAATCGCAAAATGTTTAAACTTTGCTCCGTATCGCGCGAGTGAGGCAATTCTCAGCCTAATTTGTCGAATTTCGACCAATTATACATTGTACCATGCGAGAGCGCGGGACGCGAGCACCTGGAGCCAAGGCGCAGGAAACGGTGTACGGATTTGAGTGGAGTTGATGAAAAAAAAAAAAAAAGGAAGATGACATCGGAGTGCAGAATCCATTAGCAGATCCAGGCAGGGGGAGGAAGAGGAGGTGGTGCTTTAGCATCGACGCCCGATCTTTCATCCCGCTGTGAGAGCTTTTGTACGTGTGCGAATGAATGAGCGCTCAGAGCTACCATTCTTTCCTCCATCCTACGCCTCTCTGTCTAGCAAATTCACCAAAACCGAATTTCCACGCGAGACACGTGTCAAGAGCACGGAAAAATCGAATCGAAAGGTGCGATCTCTCTTACTTTTAGATTTTTAGATTTTTACATTTCTCGATTCTCGTTGCAACAATCTTATTGTTAGTATAAATTTCCGGTCTCTCTCTCTCTCTCTCTTAGTCATTCCTAGATATAATATAAACGAAGAAAGATGTACATATTACTTTAAAAAAATACAAGCTCTGAACTTTGCGGAAAAGCAACTTATCAAATATCTGAGTATAATTTATCTCATGTTGCGAAATATATTTTTTTCTATCGTTTTAGGCTTTAAATCTCGGTTAATTACATTCTCGACTCTCTAAATCAATTGTTGCAAAATTCTAGACGCACGACGGAAGCGCAATTGAATACAACGTGTGTTAATCTATCCGGTGGTTCGCGATTACACGCAACGTGTTTTACATCGTAATAACGCGCATAACGGTATTACATTCGCGATCGTTGAAACGCAGTTAGATCCGCTCGTGAAAAGTCTTTCGTCAATGCAGAGCGCATACTTTCAAAGGAGTCTTTTCCTTTCACTTTCTCTCCTTCCGTCCGTCTTCTCTCTTTCACCGTCCTTTTCCCGCACTTAAATTGTACACTCGCTGTACATTTCCTGTTTTCTCGCTCAAACCGATGCCTTTGCCGCATCGACAACGCCTTGCTCAAGGTCGCAATGGGAATACGAATGATTCGCAGAAAAGATGGCAGAGAGAAAGAAAGAAGTTGAGTTGAAATTAAGGAAATACGAGGAAGATTCGAAATGTTGATGATGTATGCAATTTTGATATTGAAATTGATATATTTGACAAAGTAGTCTAATGTAAGTGTCACTAATATTACATTTAATCTTGAAATTGTTGTAATTAGTGATTTAACAGATCGCAGACTATTTGTTCGGAATCGATAAATCGATATCAGTTTTTAAATTATTTTAACTATGGAGAAATTATATTCGCGGAATGATAAATTTTTCTTGTGTCCTACTTATTTTGTTATTATGTAATTATTGGATAGCGTATTGTTTAACACATCTTATTTATTTGTTCTATTTAAATTTCAGAATTTCTAAAATTTTTTTGGGAAACTTTCAAAATTTATTTTGAACTAAACAAACAGTTTCAATATATTTTATTCTTCACATTTTAATCTCTCACATCTTTCATTTCGATTCTTCTTCTGCGTTCTATTTTAAACTCATCTTTGCATCATGCTGCCGCGCGAATCTTTCTCTTTGATAAAAAAGCGGGGCGAAACGGACGTGACAAAAGAAAAGAAATACCGCGTAGTGAGCGAAGTACATCGAGTCGAACGAACAAACGGAAATCGGTTTGGTATTGGTATGCTGCCAATGCAGGCAGCGGGTGCGGGTGACGATTGGTCGTCTCTCACAAAGTGGATCAGCCGCATGCATAAAGCTGGGAAAAAATCGTGAAACGCCACCGCTCGCGCTACCATTCCGCCCGTCCGGTAAATATTAGCCCGGCCAGACCTACCCGTGCGGGACACTTTTTCTTCGCTGTCTCAGCGCGTTCCCGTTCTCATAAACAAAGTAATGACGCGCCCGCCGACGCGAAACCCAATTCCCGGATTTCGGCGCTCGCTAGCCGACAGTGGTTGCAGTCTCTGTATGCACACGCATATCCGCACACACACACACGCGGGTTCATTCGCACACGCGAATATTTACACACACGCGTGATCGGACTACGTGTCCTCCCCCCCGTACGTGTTACGAACACGTTCGCGAGCGGCGCGCGCGGTAAAAGCCACCTCGGCAATGCATGTAAATCACGTCGACGACGTCGACTACGACGACGACGATGGCGACGAGGACCCTGCTCGTCCTCCTAAATCCTCCTTCCATCTCTCTCTATCCCGTGTACAGGTTTGCGCGGATCGACTAGTATCAGCTACTACCAACTTCCCGCTAAACAATATTTCGATCACGAACACAAACTGCGCTCTCTCTCTTTCTCTCCCTCTCCCTCTCTCTCTCTCTCTCTCTCT